ATCATCATTATCATTATCATTATCATTATCATATCATTGCTAGCTGCCTTCTCTGCCTTTATCTCTTCTCTACACTTACTAAAATCAATCATGTTATTTCTCTTCAAATATTCTGCAGTTCTGCAGACTATCAAGGTGTGTGAGTGCTATCACAGATTGAAGAAAGAGAAGAAGAAGATGTTCAAGTGAGAAGAGATAGATTGTAAGACATATTATAATACCTTGAAGAGACTCTGTAAGAGAGTAGAATGATAACAATTTTAAGTAACACTTCTGATAGATTTAGACTGAACTAAGTATAGAAATAATGCAGATAACATCATCTATAAGAGATTGAAAAAGAAGACAGTGAAGAGTTCTATACAGTAGTAGTGAGATCAGAAGAAGTTCTGAGAATCATTTAAGACTAAGATGAAAAGAGAGAGAGAGAAGAAGAGTATTACTGTAAATAAACAGTAGCAGAAGAAGATTGAGAAGATATTAAAGTAGAAGACAGAGAAGTCAAAACTGATAAGTTTTTTATTAAGAGATAATGATTTTTGATAACACTTCTGTTCTCTAATTGATTAGCAGGAGCTGATAGAGAAGGAGAGAATTGAGACCTTGTTCAGATCTTGAATACACTTCATAATTCAGAATATTAAGAAGACAGCTCTACTATCTGAGTATATCAATCTGCTTATCACTGAGATGAAACACAAGACAGCAGATCAGAAAATACAGGATTTTCAGACACAGATTAATCTAGCTCAGAGAGAGCAGTGAGAACTCTTCTCTGAGAAGATAGCAGAGAGAGATTTTAAGATAATTATCATCTCAGATAAGAAGAAGAAGAAGAAGAAGAAGAATAAGAAGTGAATTATGAAGAATAATAAGAAGAGTGAGAAAGAGAAGAAAGATAATAAATAGAAAAAGTTTTTTTCTTTTTATATTAATTAGTTATAAGTTCATAACTATTAGTTAATAATTAAAATTAATTTTGAGTTTTCAAAAATTATTGTATAAGTTGTAATCAATTATCAATATTAGTTCAGGGCACAAAATTTATGAAAAACTCAACATAAATACTGAGATGAACTATGAAATAATTATCAATAGATTGTATTACAAATTACTGAAGAGTTATCTCTCTACTACAATTACTGTAACTGTATTCAGAAACATTTATCATGAACTGATCATAGCTCTGAAGAAATTTTCTGATATCTGAAGTTATCAGAATGCAGATAATAAAAGAAAAATAATCAGAAAATTACTACTGAGCTGATAAGTTACTCTACTAGATAATAATTTTTAATAATACTCACTTTCTAATTTGAGAAAAATTATATGAAAATAATCATATATTAATACTCTAATTTCATAACTCTCATCTGATAACTTCTGTGAATAATTACTTTATATATATATATCTCTGAATCTTTCTCTTCAATTAATTGAAAACTCTGAATTCTGAACACTTCTTCAAATGCTTAATTCAAATCTTTATATTTCATCTCAATTCTGTCTTTGAATTAATCTTGAGATATACTACAAAGTCAATATGCAATATCTAGAATCAGAGTTGAAGAATCATTAAAGAGTATCTCTCACAGTGAATATATAAACTAGTATAAATAATCTTATATTTATAAGAGTTATATATTATTACATTGATGAGAACTGAACTTATTAAGAGATATTAATTGAATTTGAATCATTGATTAGTAGTCATACTATGAATTATATAACAGAGATATTAATGACTGTGATTAAAAATAACTATTGAGATATTAGTCTCAGTCTTCTTATAATTATAACTGATAATACTGTGAATAACTATACTATGATAAAGAGCTTGAAGTAAAAATTGACTTTGTATTTCTGAAATAATAAATAAGGTCATATTTTCTGTATTACTTATATAATTTAACTTATGATATAAACACTGATAAAGAATCTTAATAGTAAGATAAAGAATAATGAGATGACTGATTCTTGAAATGAGAATAAGATGAAAGTAGTTACTCAAGTAACTTTTATATTCATTTTATAAAAGATAATGTTTTTTAATAATACTTTTTAATATTGCTTTTTAATAATGCTTTTTAATAACACTACTGTTAATTTTGAATAAATTGACTAATAATTTAAATATCACAGATTTGAAACATTATTAATACAATTTGTATCTTCTCTAAATAATAATAATGATTTCATGATATTCAATAAATAAACAAATTAGTCATATCACTGAATATGATACAGAATATTAGAATATAATGAAGTTTAATATATAAGATAACTGTTCAGACTCTTCAATTATATCAGATAATTAATCATTGAGTGCAATACTCTGATTGAGAAAAGATTCAGATATTAAAACTTTCTGATATGAAATAAACTCAGTTGAAATATGTGATTAATTTACTGTTTCAGTTTTATAAGATAATAAAGACAGTCTTAATTACTTATATATCAATACTGCAGTCAGTCTGATAAGTGTATAACAGTTTATTTACTCATCTTAAGAAGCAGTTGAATCACTCAAAAAGAAATTCAGTCTGAAATAATGCTATAGTGCAGGCTATTATTACTATAAGAAATAAACTGATATATTACTACAGTAAAACTGAACAATCTTTTACAGAGTACTATACTGTAGCAGCTCTACTAGATCTCTCTTATTAAGTTAATATCTACACTTCTCAAGATTGAATAGAGAAGAAATAAGACTTATATATTAAATTAGTCTGAGACTACTATAATGTTAACTATCAGAGATTTGAATAAGTAGATATTAGAGATGTGAAGACAGTGAAATACAATTCTCTAGTAAGTAATAATCTTTGATAACACTTTATATCATATAGAACTATAATACTAACTTTTAAATAGAACTTATATATATTGATTATAACTGAAAATCAGACAAAACTATATACTTATAAAACTGATTTTAACTGCTATCTTCAAGATAATTCAATCAATTTATACATCAAATTAATTATAGAGTTATAAAAAATTGTTAAGTGTATCTATTCAACTATTATACTGATGATGTGTGATATTCTGACAATTTCATTGATAGAGATGAGAATGAAGTGAAAGTTTAACTCAAGCTGAGATATTTATCACTATCACTGAGAACAATTATAAGAAGAAACAATTAAGAAACTTATAATTATAAAATATAATATTATCAGACAGTTTAATATCTCTGATCACAGTATATCAGAGAAGTGTAGTTTTTATGAGAAAGTGAAGAATAAACTTACACAAGAATGTATTTAGTTATTTCATCAGTGTTATTAATAATTATTATCAAATTCTGATTATATAAGTAATCACTGAATAAATTGAATGAGACTGAATTTAATCTTCAGTCTTAGTCTCATTCTGATTTTAGAAGAATGATTATCTTTCACAGTTTATTCTGAGAAATTACTTTCATTTCACTGTTCTTGAATTAAATCTGGTCATTTTTCACATCATTTCTCTCAGAAATGATTCATTTTTAGATTTTTTTAAGACTTGATTCTAGTGGGGCTCACATCAAGAAATGTATGAGACCAGATAAAATGAGATTAAATGTGAAATTCATGATCTCGGCGGCCAGTCTATCTACATAACATCTTCTTGAAATGAGAAAAGCTGATAATAAAGACAGAAACAGCAGAGACAGAGAGAGTAGAAGTAGTGAGAGTAGAAGTAAAACTCATGAGAACAGAGGTAGCAGAAGTGAGAGAATCAGACACAGAGACAGATGTAGAAGATTGAGAGAGAGTAGTAGAGAAAGAAACAAAGAGAGCAGAGAAAGATATAGAAGACTCAGTCACATATAATACAGACAATTTCTTCATTATCATGTCTCTTAAGTTCTCAATTAACAATTCAACATTGAGATCACAATCATCAGTGAATACAGATCTGTCAACATATAAAGATTCTACATAAATTAAAACAAATATATCAGTATCTGTGTTTATATAAAATAATTAGAAAACATGATCAGATGCTCACTGAAAAAAGAAGATCAAGAATGTATAAGAAGATGAAGAAGATATGTTATTTATAATAGTACATTCTGATAATTATTAGAAGATAAACAAGTTCTAATCACATTTCACAATGTATTACATTTACTGTTAATAAACTGCCTGGTATAAGCACTATAATAATACTTATTATGAGAATGAGAGATTATTGCCAGAAACATGTACAATGTGATAGATGAACAGATAGAAGATATTAAATAGAAGAAGAGATAGAAATCTTGAATAAGATAATAATATTCAATGATAATGATGATGAAGAAGATAATTGAAGAATGAAAAAAGTTAGTAAATGAGTGATATAATATAGTGAAAGTATCTTTGTAAGAGTATACACAGAATGCTAGTCAAATCAGAGATAGACTACATAATTATAAACACTAGTGACATACTAATCTGCATGAAGCTAGAATGTACATCATGGTCATATGAGTGTGACTGAATCTAGTGAGAAAGAATGTGGTTCAGAAGAATGTATGACTGCTGAATAATAACATGACTGCTTTCAAACATGCTTACACTTCCAAACATGCTTACAAATGTAAAGGGGCCATAGCGGCCACTAATTAATTTAGTATAATGTATATAAGAAGCCGGTGTACGCCTGTAATCGTACACTAGCTCAAGCAACCTTTGAATCACAACTTTAATAATTTAGATATTGAATGTGAGTGAATATTAATATCAAATTTATTCTTCACAAAGCAGACAGTCTTATTATGATATATAGTTGAATATATCTTAAAAAAATTCTTTAATTCTGATAACATATCTGATGTAATCTTTGACTTTACACTGTATATTAAATGAGATTCTCTAACAGTTTCAAAGCAGTTAAGATTTCATTGAATTTAATATACAGTGATCAGATAATAATCAATACTTTATATAATCTCAGCAGATATATAATCATTCTTAAGAAGATGTACAATCTCATTGACAGTGAAATCACTGAGTTGAGATAGCATATTCATGATAAAGATAAGAAAGATGTGTATTTGAATGATATTTGATTGAAAAAGACATGTATTGAATGATATTGAATGATTCTAGAGAAATGTGAATATTTTGATTTTTTTGTGATGTTTTGCTACTAATTTTCAGGGGGTGCTGGGAAAATTCTGTTTTCGCAAGCAATATGTCCGCCACAATATCTAGGCGCCCAATTATTTATATCACGCAATATTATTATCACGATTAAATATTACAGTGGCAACTTGGTAGTGAGGCCCGCTGAAACCCACCCCTCCTTCTGAAAACCCCATCTAGACCTCACAGTGAAGGCAACAACGGCTAAATGCGTTACATGCATTCCAATAAATCTATGATAACCAAACACAAATAAACAAACAATTGAGACGAAATGCTATCTATCAAGCAAAACAGAAGAAGAAGCAAAGAGAAACTAGAACGTTGAAAAACAAGCATATTGCCATGCAGAAAGTTGAAAATGCCACAGTAATAACTTATTGATACAATGCTTAAGTAAATAAATCGCAATCCGCCCCCTAGAAAATAACGATTATAAAGAAACTCGTTCAAGTAAATTAAAAAAAAATAGATATAGAAGTGGAAAGGAGGAAGGAAGAAAAGCCGCTGGTCAAAACGAATATATGGAGGTGGAGATATTCATGAATACCATGTAGGTAAGTTGTAGAAGAAAGTACACCGGCGTATTCACTACGCAAGGTCTTTGCTCAGAGCCATGATTTTCTCGTCAGGTAGCGCAGAGATCCAGAGGCAGCGTTCGATGACCCCAAAGACAGGCTCGAATGTGTATTTTGTACTAGCGTCGATGAGGCGAAGCAAGCTTTTCACAATCGCTGCAGCAGTGCGATACCGCTCGAAGTTCACAAGCGGCTCACCATCTCGTGTACTCGCTATTTGAGCAGGTTTCTGGGAGTTGTAGGTCAGGTCTTGGACGTAGAGGCCTAAATGTGCCGTTACACCTGCGGTTAGCCAATTTTCCGTCTACGTAGGAACTATGGGAGTTTGTTCAAGCCGGGGAGGGGATGAAAGTTACTTACCGACAAACGGAACACACCCATCTTGTAGGTTCGTGGATTCCATCTCCAACCGCAGCTTTTGGAAATTACGAATGGGCTGGGCTAGTGTCTCCATATCCTTAAGCAGCTGCTTCTCGCCGTCCGCGACAAGCTCCCAAGTCTTCGTCAGCCTCGTACAATCAACTGAGCAGAGTGCTATTGTGATTTGAAGCATAGCTGAGTAGTTTCGAAGCCTCCTCGAGTGCACGGCCACGTGGATAAGTTTGGTGATCGTTTGCGCTCTCTCAGTTATATTCCTTGTCAGAACAACCTCCGAGACTGCCCATTTCACCATGAGATTAAAACGAGCAACAACAATATCAATTCCCCTGCGATCATGTTGCGAAAGGTAGTCTGCCCAGTTGAGTGTTGACTGCGAGGACTGACTCCATCTCATGTCAACCAGGTCCTTCCAGTCAACCTCGTTCAGTGCAGCCTTCTCAACGAGGGTGAACTGCTGAGCAAGAGTGAGGGATTCGCATGCTAGAATGAATGGCAGATGATGATGGTTCGATGCTACCATGGCCGGGGTTTCTTTGACGTACGTTTGCCCCTCAGAGCTAAACAAGATATTACTCGAAAGGTGTTGCATGTCTAGCGTTCGTTGTGTGGTAGTGCTAGGAAGGTTTTTACAACTGGGTGACAAGTCAGGTGTAATTGGTTGCCTTTGGAATGGGACCGTGTCCACAGGAGCAGCATAAGACGACGTCGAGCCGTGATACCGTGCAGTCATCGGCGGAGAGGGAGGGTGCGTCAAGGGATGTGAAATAACACCCAGACCCGGTAGCGCTGCGTCCATGCCAGTAATCGTGCCTGTTCCATAATACCTGTCAACCGCTTCGTCCTTATCAATGACTGATATTTCTGAGGAAAGCTCGGAGCCGTAGCCGTGATCATCGTCACCCTTATCATTATCGTCATTTGGCTTGTGTAGTGAAGAGGATAATGTAGGGGGTCTTGGAGCTGTGGAGCCCTGTGGGATCCGTTTCAGACTCTCCGTCTCTTCCACCATATCAATTGATGGATGAGACGACTCGAGTTTGTCAGTCACTGGATCGTCATCCGGGCTAAATAAGGGCTGTGGGACAGGGATTGGTGGACTAAAAACAGGGCTTTTCATCGACTCGTCGCTCAAACCACGCTCAAGGAGGGGGATTGAGCAATACGAATCCTCAGAACCTATGAACGATTCTGTATCGGGAGCAGTAAGTGCGGACAACGTCCGACCATTGTCCGATTGGTATGTAGGTAGAATGCTCGGTTCGGCAAGGGACTGGTGACGATAGAATTCCCCATTGCGATCGTTGTGTTTATCCGTGAGGATATCGCCTGTGCTAAGTTGACCTTGAGAGTCTCGAGGGGTACTTGGCGATGGTCTTTCCCACTTGCCCTCCAATTTAAGAAGGGTCGATTCGATACCTCCATCTTCATCGTCAGGGATCTTAGCGAATCGTGCAACTGCAGCCTCAAAGGAGGCTCGTATCTGTTGCGAGGGACGTGTTCCAGCAGCCGAGTAACGTTCCATGGGAAGGAGAATTTCTTCATGTCCGCGCCTTCCACTTGGTGGAATTCCTGCCGAACCGTCGCTATTCAAAAATAAGAGAGATTCTGCCATTGAATCCGTGTACGACGTCCTAGATGCAAAGGATCGCGCTCTAGGTACCGCTTGAAGGTCATGGACGTTTCGGATCTTCCTAAGATCCCCACCAGGACGACGGCGAAGCATTCGAGTAGGAAGCTTCTCTCCTGACCCACGTGAAGATTCGCCGCGTGACGCAGCCTCGCCCGTCGAGTCAATGCTTGGGTGTTTTCTAAGATTTATCATCCCGTTATGATAAGATGCATACCTCCGCAGCCTACTTCCCGATTCCGATCGTCCCGGGGTTTTCGACCCACTGCGAACTACAGAAGAGGATCGCTTATCCCAAAATCTAACGTAGTCTTCTGAATGCCGTGAATCTCGACTTGTAGATATGGAAGTTACATCATACCGTTCCAACGAGGGCCCAGGAACACCAACCAAAGCGTCTGGATGTGAAATAGGAGACGACGCATCGATCGCCTCCTCAAAATTGTGCAATGGTGATTCTTGGAAGTGGTGGGGACCATTTGGAAACGTCTGCAGTGCTCCAGACATTAGCGGGACAGCAGGACGAGTGTCGTCCACTATAACAATCGATTTGCTTCCCGTTGTTAGTTGGCTTGATATTCTACCCAACCCGAGGCCGAATCCAACGTGGCTTTCCGGAATTAATCTAACAGCAGACATTGGCAATCTGTCTTTTCCTAGTTCCCCAGTTGCTATGACTTCAGATACAGGACCTGAATTCAGCGGTTCTCGCATAAGAACTTGGCGATAGCACTGGAGAGCGTCATCACACAGCATGTCAACCCGCGGAGGAACTCTAGCATCTGGGCCTGACCGTCTTTCCTTGTATACATCGCCTCCGACCCCGATGTTAAGAGGGAGTGCAGAAGTTTTTCCTTTTAGTGACGGCAACATACTGGGGTGTGCTGCCTGTGGGCTTGAAGAATTGCCACTTTGTCTATTATGTAGAGCTCGACGAATTGTGCCAATGAAGGTTTTGACACCTGGTGCAGGTTTTACACTATTATCGCCCTTTGGACTTAGCTCCTGATGTAGAAAATGGAATTGAGACGTTTCAAGGGGGGGCGACGGAGGTACGATTGTCACAACGGATGGATCCACCGGAGCATAGGCATTACCACGTATTATACTTTCGGGGTAAGGTAAAGTTTGGAGGAGCGATTGTCCCTGAGTGTCTAGGTTTAATGCTGGTAAGGGTGCCCGGTCATCTCGTACAGAATCGGAGAAGCTTCCACTTCGCTTGTGGGAATGAGCGGGTCGACGCCATATGGGAATCACAGGTGCCGTTGCTTGAGTGTCAGCGGATGTATGAGAACTACGCGCTGCAGATGCCACTAATACGGGATGTGGGCCTTTTGGGCGGGTCGAGTGTGTGGACTCGCGTTTCTGTCCTTTAGACGGGAACGAACACGAAGTTGTTTGTATGCTCTTTACGCTCTCCGATGATGGTGGTAGATCCCGAGCAGACGCTGTCGAAAAGTTGTGGGTATGAGAATGTGGAAACTGAACGTCTCCCTCTTTATAATCGGCGACCTTCATGGGTGAGGCGGGACTCAGTGGTACCACACCTGCAGCTTGTGATTCGATAATATGAGATGGGTCCCGTATGCCGCTTAAGCGACTTAGGCGGGCATCCCTGGAGCCAGCAACACCTCCGGGGGCAACTTTATCATCAGGATGAGTGTCATTAACAAAGTTTGGGGAGTCCCAATACAGAGCGCATCTGCCGTTCCAGCACCGTTTCAAATCAAGAAGGATTTTGAGATCACTCGAGCTGTTGTTGCTGCAGCTTCTGACATTCTCATAGATTTGGTTGAGTTTTTTGCAGAATTGAACCCGAAGGTCACGATTGATAACGAAATCATCGACAAAGTAATTAAGAATCCAATGCCTTAGAGCTGCGAACGTGCGAATCCGGATAATCCTTCCGTCATCCTCCAGTCGATTGATCGCCCATTGAAGCCTCGCTAGCAGAAGCGAAAGGAGGTTACTGTGCGAAAGATAAGACCGAAATGTTAGGAAGAAGTCAGATACTAATTCGTAGTCCATAAACGTGTCCGATGAAATCTGAGCAACTATTCGAGCGGGAGTTGCGGCAGATATCTCGTTTGATCCTTTGACATAGCGAACAACCGATGGGTCATCCATGATTTGAACCAGGAAATCAAAAATAGAAGGTTCTATTGGTTCACTCAATTTGTAGAACACAGGGGACTGCACTGGTGCCGCAGTGGATAATTCGCCGAATGCCTTTGGCTTGGCATGTACGGATGGCATAACTGAATACGTTCGAGTGGTCCGCGAACATTGGTTTAATGATTGGGGCACGTGGGACATTATACCATAATCACTCTCAGTGGCCATAGAAGAAGATCGAAAGTGCTCTGATACCGATGTTTTGGTATAGGCAGAGCTTCGGAGAGTCGGGTTACCTTCTGGCGTAAATCGGAAACCCCCAAGTCTAAAATGTGGAATTGTGACTTCAATAGCCGGGATGGAAGGCTGGCCGGCCGATTTAGGGCGCTCATGTTCGGGGCGCTCAATAACGATCCGCAATTCTTTGCGATTTCTCGAATCCGCGGACGGAATATCGTCGAGTGAGTGTCGCTTTGACCCCTGGTCGTCCGGAGTCGTTGAGATGTCATATTTGCTTTCGTTGCTATCCTCGCGGACTATATCAGCTCGTAATTCTGACAGTTGGGAATCAGACCACATGCTATGTCTAGCCCATCTATCCTCCGGTGTGGGTTCTGGGTGTAAGTAATTCTTGTTTGAAGGTGTGGTAGGAGTTTTGGTGAGAGGAAAGGGTTGCGGCCTGGCTTGGTTCGTGGGTCTGAACCGGAAACGATTAGTTTATTATATTGCACCTTCTAGTAACCAAATCTCCATCATTCATACCTTAAGTACAATTTCCCGTTATGACCAACGTTCCCAACCGTGAAGTGTCTTGCTTCTCTACCTCCCAGGCCTACAGTTCCAATGCCCTCTGGCGTAACATCGATCGTGTCGGAACGTTTTAAAGCCCTCTGCCTCAATACTTCACTACTATTCTTAACACGGCGAAGCGAATTGGTTCTCTGCCTTCCATTTGCTGTAGCAGTCTCCTTTTGTACATTTCCGTCCTGCAATCTTGAATGAGGCTGTCCCAAAGATTGCTTCTCCGATCGCAGGGCGTGGTTGGGAGTCCGTTTTAACCGCGTCTCATTCGTCGCTGGCCCTGTGAAAACCCCAGATGTTTTGCCTTCTGACTGGGCGGGCGTCAGCGGTGTTCGCTCCCCATGCCGGAATTGGGATTGCATTTTCACAAAACCCCAGAACACGAGAACTGCTACCCTAGGAACCTCGAATATAGACTACCGCTGAAGGGTGAGGAGTCGGAAGACGTAGAAGGAATCGGTTGTGTGGCATCACTTAACCAGACGAAGAGGCGAATTATAGACGTCTTGAAAGGCCGAAAGTCGGAGATAAAAAGCTTGGTTTCAAGGCTGTCAACAATTGCAACAACAAACAACAGGGAATAATGTTCAAATTAGAGACACACAGCAGGCCGAAATAGTCATGAAAACATGAAGGTAAAAATAAAAATAAAAATAGAAATAGAAAAAGCAATATAAGGTAAACAAAAGATAGAATTACAAAACAGAGGTCAACTACCTCCCTCCAACCCCCAGAAACGCATTGTACCCAATGCGGTTAACCCCAAGACAGTCTGTCTGTTTGCGCGACCTGTGACAACCAAGGCTGGTTTCCAGGCAAAACAAGAAACCTGACACGAACTAGGTCCCACGGTACCACTGATTTGCGACTCAGTTTTCTTGATTGAATATTATAGAGTTTCCTGGGCACGGTGCCTGCAATGGGGAGGATATCAAGAAATCGATGCAAAGAGACGGGTAAAAGAGCGCCAATGCAGAAGGAAAACAAGAGATTGGAGGAACGACAAATGGTGTGAGAAGAACAGAATGTCGACAAGGAACAAAGCCAGATGAGCAGTTTAGCCTTGATAGCGTAGTTGAAAAAGGGAACCAGCGGGCATGTCTGGGCTAGAACAGAGAAGTCCGGGCTGAGGTGATTATGCTGAGGATGTTACTGTGAGAGGTTGGGGCAGAAAACACAGGGTAATGTATTCACAAGCAAGTCGGCCACGCAAGTGAGTCGCCACCTTCTCATCATTTTGCATGTTTATAATCAAATATAATTATAGAACAACAACCATATAAGAAAAATAGATTAATTATATCTCTCTTTATTATAGAAAACCAACTTTTTCATGTAAAAAATGCTACAATATGATCTTATTTAATATTACATACATTTTATCAGATCTATTTATTTAAAAGAGCTAGTTAATAGTTCACTTTTCACAGATCTGTTACTCTTAACAGTGATTTACAAGTAGATAATAAAAGTTATCAATTTCTTCAGAGTTAAGAGTTTAAAGTTATACTTAATAAGCTTATTCTGCATGTTTTTATTCAGTGTTTTCATAAATATTATTATTCAGATCTTGTTTCAGAACTCTGTTTTTATAAATTTCAATTTATATTATAGTTTTATAAGCACTGTGAGAAGTTTTTATCAGATTTCTTATCTTTTTTCTAATATTAATAATTTCAGCTCAGATGTTTTCTATCTAATTTATAAAATCTCTTGATTTATTTTTTAAATAGATTTTAAAAACTGATTAGTGAAATCTCTTATAATTATTCTTTAAATAATTTAAATAATTTTTTATTTCAGTGTAATAGAAATCTGTTTTTGTATAAATAATAATCTCTTCATTTTTTATATTATATAGTTGAGTTTGTAAATGAATTTTAAAAATAAATTTATAGAAGCTTTTATAAATTGTAATTCAGTAGATAATTTTAAACTGTTATAATTTAAAAAAGTTTCTTTTTAATTTATAAGTGTGTAAGAAATCTTACTTCTTATAGATCCTTTACTTCTATTTCTAACTCTTATATAATTAATTGAGTTAGTAGCTCTTAACTATACATAATTATATAAACTGAAGTTTATAACTACTATTTATATCTCAGCTTGAATACTATTATATATTAATCTCTATATTTATCTTTCTATCATAAATACTTTTAGTAGCTATTAGTATATATTATATCAAGCTGCAAATATCTGAATAATTATCTGTGAGTACTTATTCTTATATTTCAAGCTCTGTCAGTCAGCAACTGTCTATTATAATTATATAAGAATAAGTACTCGCAGGTGATTATTTAATTATTTGCAGCTTGATATGATATGTACTGATAGCTATTAACAGTATTCATAATAGAAAGATAAATGTAGAGATTAAATGTATAATAGTATTTAAGCTGACTTATGAATAGTATTCATGAACTTCAGTCTATATAATTATGTATAGTCAAAGACTGCTAACTCTATTAATTACACAAGAGATAGAAATAAAGATAAAGAATTTATAAAAAGTAGAATTTCTTACATACTCTCTTCTCTTTAAAGCTTTATTGAAGAAGTCTCTTACTGAGTAATTTCATAGAGTCAGACTCAGCACTGCAGTAATACTCACTAAAAACTCTTCATATCTATGAAAAATCTTAGTGAGAAAAAATCTCTTATTACTGTAAAGAGAAAAGTGTCTATTACTTAATTTCTTATTCTGTAAAATTCTTTATAATCTGCAGATCTTTCTCTGACTATTATACAGATTCATTTTATATCTTTCATTCAGAAGAGTTTCAGTTAACTCTTAATTATTTCTACAAGATTCTTATATAATTATTATATAGATTTATTTTATATCTTTCAATCTGAAAAGTTCTGATTAATCTTTAATTATTTTTCTATGAGATTTTTATATAACTGTTATATAGATTTATTCTGCAAGATGAATTACTTTCTGTGAGATTATCTTTATTAAAGAGAAGTATTCATGAGTTAATCTTTTACTTATTCTTATAAATTATGATTCTTTAACACTGTAAAGTTATATGAAATTTTTCATTCTTTCACTAGCTCTATAGAATTATAGAATTAAGATATTTACAGTCTATAATTAGTCTTTATAATCACTTAGAAAGATTCAGATCTCTGATTTATTATTACTTTTTATTTACTAGAGTGATCTGACTGTTTCATGAGATCACTTATAGTATAAACAGATCTCTTTAGAGTAGTATAAATACTTTAACTCTATTTATAAAACTTTATCATCTTTTGTCTTTTTCTATAACAGCTCTCATTCTTATAAACTGTGAGTATTCTTATTTACTCACAAAGTGTTTTTATTTAAATAATAGAGAGTGTGTATTTCTAATAATATCTATATACTAGTTCAAGAACTTCTCAAGAATAATTTTTTTTTTTTAATTTTAATATCTTTATAAATAATGTCTAACTGCTACTGTACTTCTTATAAGTATCTCGATAATCTCTCTGATCACTTTCTACTAGTTAATAATATAGAGATATTATTATCTGTGATAGTATTTTTATCTCTCTCAGCTCTGTCACTGCATCTGATCTTCAGATTAGTAGTTTAAGTATGTATGTTCTTCAAATTAACTTCTAACTCTTAACAGTATAGTCTTATTCTTTACTATAAGTCTTTTTATAAGTAATTTCTTACATATTATAGCTGATAGTTTCTGTGAAGCTCTCAGTACTGCTAGTACTCTCTACAGCTCTGCAGATCTATAATTACTCTCTCTCTACTTCTATATTCTTTAATCAGATATATGTAAATATATCTATATTTTCTATCAATAATTCTCACACTGTAACACATTTCTGCAATTTTGATATTAATGAGAGATAAGTCTTCAAGTATTTATAAAATTCAGATAATTAAGATAATACAAATACTATAAATTTGTAATAAGAGTTAATCTGAGTAGATAAGCTCTCTCTCTATATCTTAATAATTTTCAGGCTGAATACTTGAGTATAACTGAGAAAGTAAATATAGCTTTGTAAGAGATATCTAATAATATAGACAGATAATCAGCTCTCAAGACTCTGCTACAACTATATACACTCTGATGTTTAGCTTTCTTAAAATCTATGCATTTTCAACAGTTTTTATATTAAATATAATAATCATCTGTACTGTGAGTAAAATACTCTCTGCTTCTTTGAAGAAGAGAATTAATAGTTACAGAGAGATTGAGTGTCACAGATAAGAAGAATATAAGTATAAGTTTTCTTAATTTTTTCATTATTAATTATTAAATTATGTTTATAATCTGATCTTTGATATTTTTTATCTTTTAGCTTAATAATAATATGATTTCTTCTTCTCTTTATATACATCACAGACTATTCATCTCAGTTGAAACTTATTATCTTTATAGATTAGAGTTTATGAATAATAGTATTAATATCTTTATTATAATCAGATTCTTAGTAAACACTGTATTATTTTAACTTATTAGAATTTACAGTATAAAAGTTATGTTTTAGCTTCTGCAGATATCTTATCTGTCTAAATAATTCTTAAGTGAACTTATTCATCTTATTATAATATTCTTATCACTGAATCTTGAATCAGAGCTTGTAATCTCACTTCTCTGAGTTAATAATCTCTTTAATCTGATATTCTCTTTTACTGTCTAGTACTTTATAAACAGAGTGTTGAGTCACAGAGATCTCTTCTAAGAATTTCTTATATTTATGAAGTAAAGAGATATGAAAAATATTATATATCTATAACTCAGATAATACTTTCAATCTGTAGAATAATAAACTAACTTTGTTTATAATCTTATAAGATTATATTCATAAGAGATTGAGCTTCTTACTAGATCTTTATATAGTGATGTTTTTCAGACTTAATCAGACTCTATTATCTTTCTTAAAACTCTTTACAATATGTTTAGAGTTATAGTATCTCTTTTAATACTTCTAAGACTTTCTTAAGAATTCACAGACTTTCTCTCAGATCTTCTGAAATCTCTCAGTCTGTCTATGAGTGTCATCACACTCTACAGTATACTCTTGTGAGTAGACTGGCCGCCGGGATCATGAATTTCATATTTAGTTTCATTTGATCTGATCTCATACATTTCTTGGCATGAATCCCGCTGGGACTAGTCATTAAAAAAACATGTAAAGTGACTATATATCAGATTTTAAAATGAAATCATGACTTGAAAAAAATGAGAAAGTGGTCTCATTTGATCTCATTTAGTCCCATTCTTGGCATAAAGTTACTATTTTTAGACATTTTAAGGTTTTCTTTTAGACTATTTTTAATTTTTTAAAAAGTAATGCTTTTTGATAACACTCAAATGAGATTTAAAGTCATTTAAAGCAATAAAAATAATTTAAATTGAGAAGTGAAAATCATGATCTTATTTGAAAAATGTGACAAGAGTAGACAGTAAGTTTCACTGAGACAGTATGAGACTACTATCTAATGTTAAAACTGTGTAATGAGATCAGTCAAATTGATAATGAGACTATCAAAAAATCTGATCCTGGTCTCAGACACGGTCACACGATCAGTCTACTTGTGAGTTTATTAAGATTATCTGCAGATGATTCTCAGTAAGTATTTTAACAAGAGTTTTATCTGTACTGATATACTTTAAGTTATTATATATAAACTTTATAAATAATAATCAATGCATTCAGTTATTCTGATTGTAATTAACAAAGCACTGCACATACTAGTTTAATATACTTATTAAATATTCTATTTGATTATCTGTCTATTAATAAAGAATTATACTTAGATCTCACAAGATCTTCAGTATAATTATCAGATCAGACTAGAACTCTTTTATAAAGAGTAATCTTCTATCTAAGATAATATTCACAGATAATTCATACAATTAGATTATATCACAGATGAAGATATAAGATAAATTCTTTAACTTTAAGTTCTTATAAGTGAGTATAAAGTAGATTATTATAAGAGGTCTACGCTAAATAGATCAGTATAATATATAGGTCTTATAATACAAAAGTGAAAAACATTAAAGAAGGAAAAGAAAGAGAAAGTGTGAGAATCAGTGATTGAAGTGAATATTTATACATGTACACAGTGGTGTACGCGGTGAAGCTTCAGAGTAGAAGAATAGAAATTCCATGAGTTTTTCAGCTAAGAATCAGTGATTAAGAATGACTGAGAATCAGAGCTTCTAGCACAATCTATAAAGTGTAATGAAATAGTCTATATAATTGATCAGATGCAGTCTGTCTCATTAACTCTCTCTTTTCTAGTTATGAATAGTTCTTATCAGTCAAGGGCCG